ATATATTCATTTATGCGACACTGTTTCTCTTCTTATAACACTATATTTTCTCCTTCTTGGTTTTTTTTTTGCTACAAGTAATTGATATTTCCTCATTCTCTATTATATCAAAGACTAACAGTGTCTCGTAATATACGACGAGTTTGATCGTTCTGTGCTTAGCTGACTCGAATAAACGTATTTTTCCTTAGCTGGGACTTTGCAAGCAAAGCACCAACGTCAAACTGGGAACGTCCCACACTCGACTTAATTGAATTTTCGAGCTTGTTCATCGCGCGAGAACATGCTCGAAGGCGAAGGAGAGAGCTTTCAGCGCAGTTCGAAACAATTCGACCGGCCATAAAACTTTGGTGCAACTTCGGTCACTATAAATCCGGGCTCTTAACTGCGTGACGATAAATCACATAACTTATATGAGAAAAAGAGAGAGACAGAGAAAAATACAGAAAGCGTTAGCTAGCGGAAACTGCGAAACTCGCCGCGTAGATCTTTCCCTTCGATTCTCGTCTCGAAGGAAATTCCTACGTAAAGGATCGATCCCCGAACCCGTGGCCTCTTCTTTCACCTCCTTCTCTTCATCCTCCTCTTCCTCCTCCTCCTTCTCCTCTTCCTCTTCCTCTTTCTGTTCGTTTCTGAAAGCGACGCCAGTACCGCGCAAAGGATATTTCTGTGCTGGCAAGACGCGGCCAGTTAAATCAGAATTCAATTTGAACGACGTTCGAGCTGGGAGATCCCCATAGAAGATACGAAATATTCATGGCGAGAATACTTTATCCGTTGTTATTCTTAGGCCGCGGCCACACGGCCTTCCATAAATACATAGCGCCCCGCAACGACCATTCACGGCGTTTCATCGCAGTCTTTCGTCGCTGAACATCATATCTAAAGAAATTTAGAATACTCTGTGATTATTAGACTGTGAATGTTTATGTATCCATGGGAAATTTATAGCTGCAATAATGCATAGAACGCATGTTTCCTGTGATAGGCAAAGATATATAAGACGTTGAAAGCGTAATGTACTCGTTATATTTCATGGGTTAAATAAATCTCTGCATTTCTTTAATTACATTGATAAAAATACAAATTTGCGTAAACATCTGCAATCTAATAATCATAATCGGGTATAAAATGCTTGATAATTTTCAAATCATCACCTTTAATCTCTCGATGTCGCTTTTGCTCTTTGAATGAAAATAAATCAATACTTTTGTGTATCGACTAATCTCTAATTTGCTAAAAGATAATAAGAGCAATGCACGTGTCTGTCCCTAATTTCTTGTCAACAGGTAATATTATATCAGCGATAATATATCAGATCGACGTGATAGACTGCAAAGTATTCTGCCAATCTACAAAAGTTTCTTGGCCCCTCGCGGGTGGAGCAGTGACGCGGCGCGAGCAGCCTGATCGATTTAGCGCCAAATGTCGCCGTGTTTTACACGCGGCAATAATGGTTGAAATCTATGTAGCCAATATTTCACGGGGTCACCCTTTCTCTCCCCGAACGCGTCCCTTGCGCCGCCGTATATGAAAACGTTCGCGTACACCAGCGACGCGTAGCCGTGGTTATTGGCTCGCATATGGCCGCTGCTCGATATTTCAAACTACACGGTAAAATGGAGATACGAACGGCCTCGTACCGTCATTGAAACACGTTCCCGAGGAAATTTCGAAAAGTTCCTCGAAATATTTCGAAGATTAAGTACACCGAACCATCAACTTCAAATCGACGACGTGATAGATTATTACGAAGCGAATAATATGTATTTTTCTTATTTGGTATTGGATATGCCGAGATAAATTGGCATGCGAAATAATTTGACCGGGCTTGACCGAATAAAAGGAATTTAAATACCTTACGAGGAAGAGGGTGAGCCCAGGGAGAAGAATGATAGTCCCAGGGGAGAGATACATCCGAGAGCGGCAAGAAAGGATCCTTCCGTAACCGGACAGCGTAATTTACACACTACGAGACTACGTTATACAGTTCACTGACTTCAAAGATTACTTTTTAAAAGGCATTTGTCCGTAATTCCTTTGCGTGCCTCTTAATTTTATCTTTTGTTTGGCTTCAATAACCAATTAACGAGCAAGGAAGGCTATGGTTACAGCGCATACCTGCTTCGAAGAATTGTCGTTCTGATGGATGATATATCGGAAGAACGATGCGTTTGCTCTTATAAAAATTTATATATCGACCAACCGTAAGTCCGTAACTATGGCATAATCTTCGACATTTCATATGGATATCTATAAAAAGCGTCAACCTTCCTTCGCAAGGAACCTTAACAAGAAAAAATTCATTTATCTTTTCTCCAGTTTATGGTAGAGTTATGGAACCCCGACACATTTCTTTAATTATTCCAATGATTTATAGATTTTCATAGATCCATTTTAGGGTTCATACCGATTTCCTAGGCGAAAGGATCATCGTTTCGACATGTGTCCACGGTGGGTACGGTACAACGTTTTAGGGTTCTATCCCTCATTCTTCAAAAACCGGCCAGTGCATATGTCGGCGCAAGAAGCATAATGTTATCAAGCTGTCCGACAGAGAGACGGGCAGCGAAAGAGGACGAAACCCTTGGGGAACCTCGTCCTCGCTTTCGTCCACTTCGTCCTTATTGATATACCGAATAAACACACTTGGCAGCTAGGCGGGATAGCTTTGCGAGGCAAATAGACTCGGAAGGACCGCGCTCTTTGGCCTGTATCCGCTCTTAAAGCCGAGACTACGATCGAAATACCACTCCTATATTGCCTTTCGTCCTTCTTAAATGTCTACAGAAATTTGATAAAATATACCGATGCAAAGATACAATTCTTTGGATCTTCGTGTTTACACTAAAAAATTACCATCATTCGAAAGCAACGAGTCGTTCTAAACAACAGGATAACGAGGTACATTTTATCTTTACAACTTGGTATCCTCTGTCACCACTTTTCTCAACTTGAATGCAAAAATTCAAGACGCTCGACGAAATGCTTGCCATTAATATCCGTTTACGTGTCTAAATTTTAGTAAAAACGTGAAAAATATCGAATAATATAAATGTTCGTAAATATAAAAAACGCGAGACGTCGTTCTGTATACACATAGCCTCGAAAACATCCCGACGAGCTAACAAACGACGAACGAAGACGCTAGGTCGTCTCGCGTTACAACCACGCGGCTTTCAACTTTCGACCCTTATCGATCGGTGCCCTTATCGAGCCTCGGCGCACCTTGTCCAGCGGCGGCTCGACGGTAAATAAAGATGGCCGGTTTTTCCCATCAGCTCGCACACACGTATCGCCTGGCTGGACGTTGGTGTGCGCGCCGGCCAGACGGTTTTAAATTCCGCGAGTCAAAGCGATGTTTGACATGGAAATGTTGAACGATGCATTAAACATGCCGCTTCCTCTCTTTTCCACGGAAAAAGAGGAAGAGGATTCAGCCCTGGCTCCCTCCATTGGCTTCCCGTTCGCGGCAACTACCCACAGCGAAAGAGGCCCCCGATCGGGGCCCCCACGCTATTGTTCGAGCAATGTTTATTTAAGCAAACGAAAGAAGCCACCGTTCGAACGCAACGGAGCGAATTCGCCTTCCTCCAGTTCCTCCACTTTGTTGGACCGTCTTCCGGTACGGATCGATAGCGGCGTGATGCGATGCCGCACTTCCAACGCAACGCCTCCGGCAATAATCTACGATTATTCCGCTCTACCTATCTTTTTCCATCGCGGTTTCTAATTAGAGACGAGAATATATGAATATCATAGGGGAAAACGTGGCTAACCTTCCGAGTCTGATATCATTTTATGACTAAAGCACAGTATTTCGATACGACGATGAGAATGAAAGTTCCTCGGTTTTATCCCTCGAAGATGGTTAGAACATAATAATACTCAGCACAAAGTGGAATTATTAGAGAGAGAATTTTTTCTTGGCATATATGAGAAGATATTTAAACTGTTTTACCGTGCCATTTCTTTTACCATGCCATATGTTTTCCTGTGTAATTTCAGAAGTGTATAAAATTAGACAAATATAGTCTCGGTATGGGATACTAAAGGAACCTAATGACTTATTAAGATTAAATACTTATGAATTTAATTATCTTTGAGAAATGTTGATGTATACGTAAATAACTACTTTGTACTTACTTGCTCGGACAAATTGCGTACTTTCGAAAAGTTTACGATGTAAGAAGATAAAATATACTTTAATAAATTTCGTTAAGTTTGCTGAAAAAACATAGTAACGCTACATAAAGATAATAATAATGGTTATTGTCGACAATTATTGGCACAAGCGGAAACGGGACGAGCATTGCCAATCGAGGCATCGTGATTGGCTGAGCCGCCTGCGAGGGTCGGAAGCGAGCACCTGCGAGGGACAATTTCGATGGACCTTTCCCTAAAAGGAACATCCCCACTCCCATTGTCCGGCAAATGACATCAAGCTTATTGCATTATTTAAAGAGCCCCGCTTTAAGACCGTTTTAAGCCGCTGACCCTCCGGTTTTTCGGAGTGCTGCCACCGTTCTCCATCGGAGTGATTCTTTCTTCTGTGGATCGCGTCGGGATCGATCTTATCGCGTATTTGCAAGCATAAGTTATGTGGATTTGTCCGATCGTTTTACCTAGCACTTAACTGCCTTCTGTTGGTATCTATTCATAGTAAAATTTGTATCTGGATATAGTCACGATATTTACGTAGACGCGTAAATGTTTTTCTTTCGTCAGAGACATCCTTGTTTTAAATAATAATAATAATTACTTTAACATATCATTCGCTGTCTTGTTTTACTTTTTAAATCTTAAAATTTCCTATCCTAAATCCTAAAAATCCTAAAATTTCAACGTACAACTGTTTAAAGAATGAAATTCCCGGGTGGTTCTATGATATTTTTACGAGAAGATAAAACTATTGATAAAAGAAATATAGTTAACCCACATTAGTGCCGAGGCGTGGGGAGCCCAACAAATTTTTGCAGAAACTTAGAATTTTCACTTACCAGGAGAAATACCGAGTTTCACGTGCAGACTGCTGGGACTTCTGTGATCGGGAGTGGTTACGGGGGCGGCAATAGGTGGTGACAGGTGGGGGTGTGCCGGTGCTCCGCCACCTGTCGTTGTCGTAGTAGTCGTGGTGGTACAAGGATTTAAGGGTGAGGTCCTCTTGAAAGACTGTTCGGTCCGCCACGTGACCTCGTTATCGCCTATCCAAACTTTACCTGCGAAAGACACACAAAAATTAGCATTAATTTGCTGTCTTAAATATCTCAAACTTTATTTAGTGCCTAACGAAATTGTTTGTCCTTTCAATATTGCTAAATGCGATCGTTACGTCTGGCTATATTAATATACACACTGGTACATATAATGAGTCGAATAACGATTTACGTGTTTGTTAATTCAAGGCAACAACCGCTCGGAAATTATTCTTACAGACAAGTAATACTATCGAGCATCGGGATCAAATTGCAAAAGAAATTTCCCCTCTCGCTGTATTAATATAACGCTGGGGCCTTTGTGTCTGCGCAGAAAATGGCTTCTCCCCCTTCAAGAGTCCACGTAATTAGCAACCCTCCGAATCCCCTATTCCTGCCAGTTTTCCCGGCTTTCCCTCGTTTCCCTTAATTTCTGGGAACAATCCCGGGCTCTGGATGTTGTTCCAGTCTGCAGTGTCTAATTACACCCCGGACATATAACGCTTTCAACATGGAAAGTTCTCGCTACGAGATATATCGTATTCTCTGAAATTCCAAATTTTCTACTATGCATCAGTTACACGCTTTTTCATTAACGCTTCATGTTTGTTTGCTCGAAACTTTCACGAGTCGATTGCATTACTTTTTGACATCGGCGAAGTTCTTTTCGTTTATGAATGCACTCTCACTCGTAGGTTATACTTTTTCATATTCAACTATATTCATGGAACAATGTCTATTGAAATGATAAATAAATAAAAATACATAAAACAAAGATATTCAGCTACAGATATTTGTACTCCGAAACGTAGGATAAAATCGAGAATTCATTTTCTATCCCCTGAAAAGAATCTAAGAATCCAAATATTATCGAGATAGTTAGGATTTCCTAGCTATAACATACGTGACGAAAGCTGCACGCAAATATAATCCCGCATGCGTGAGACGTGAGTCAGCCCCTTATTTGCTTGATGAATGATTTAGCCTCGATCCGTCTCTCTCCATCGCATCGGTATCTCGCGCCCCTACTCGCTAACGAGGGCGAGAAAGCGAACTTCCCGTGTATTGGTAAATGAGAAAAAGAGATAGAGAAGAAAGGAAGAGAAGAGAGTAGAAACCGAGGTCCATCGTGGCGATTCGAACGACGGAGGGTGGTCGGGACGGCGAGCATTCGCGGAAAGTACTGTGGGAGACACGGAGGAGAGGAAAGAAAGTGTAGCTGGCGCTAACTAAGGGCGTCGGCTAATCAATATCATCAGAGAATGGCCGCTGACCTCGCGCCGACCAGTGGACGCTCCATTCTTCCTCAATTCTTATGCCAACTTCCACGCGAGAAAGGATTGGGATGAATCGAACTTTTCCACTGTTCGACGATCCGTAACGATTTCTCGTGGATTTTCATCGTGTATCGATTTACGTGAATTAGCATGGTGAATACGTTTGCACGTAGAATGGTGCCAGGAAAATAGTGAACAGGCAACAAGCAATACGAAGATAATTATTTAGGATCGATCGGTGTAACCTCGAGCTACATTCATTTTATAATTAATGGTATTAGTAATAATATCGGTAATTGAACGCTTCTTTTTTCTCTGGAACTCCTCGGCGAACGGATGAAAGTATCGAATATTACGCGTAGGCATTCCTTTCTAAATAATATATTATTTTAATTACGGGGCGCGTCGTGAGTTGCACAATAATTGATCGGCTCCGATAATTATCACGTTCCTCCGTGAATCGAAAAAGTCTGATAGCTCGTGAAACATTAGCATAGATTTTCATTAATATATCGTCGGTACTTTAATAACGATTAATTTCGATTGTAATTCCGATGGATGTGAAACTTTCACACGTATACGTATACATATTTACACGTTTAGATATTAGTGTATCGAGTGTGGATTATTTATAGGAGGGTTTGTTGGATAGTGGCATGTCTCGAGGCCACGATTCGAACTACGGCATGGAACGACGGTTCCTTTAATCTCGTGGTGTTTGCATGCTCCCCTCCAGCATACGGAGACGAACGGAACCACCCCTCGAGGGCGGCGAAACAAACTTTCGCGTGCGCGCCTTGGAAAATTCAATTACGTTTCTATTCGCGAGAATCGCGCCTCGGTACCTCATGGATCGACTTCAGCGTCTTTCTTCATTTTCTAGAAAATCTTACCTATTGTTAATTACTGTACGTAAACGCGCAAGCAGCTTTTAAAAGTATATAGAATTAGTATTACATTTATTATCGACTAAAACACGTTATATTAATTTTAAAAAGCCTCAATTATCGTCGAATTTTATTATTTGCGCGGAAAGTGAACGTATAAACGAAGATCAAACACAAGCTATTACTCGGCAGAGTGAAAGCGTTTCTCGTATGAAGAATTTTATTCGCATCAATTAACGAACGTCATGTTCATTTATCACAATAAAGAACTATCCGAAACACTAAACTCTACTTTATATATCCGCAAAATAGACTCTGAAAATCTCAGCGAGCCATGAGCAGTGCGCATAAACAGAGCCATCTATTTGGCGATCGGTGATATCCCGTAGCCTGCAGGGTGGTTTCACCCTCTAAATTCCCCTCGCTCATTCGTCCAGCAGGCGCGAACTCCATTCACGGGTTTATCACTGTCCAGATAACAACGATTTACCTATGGACTCGTACGAATGTCGAGGGTCCAACAGGAACAGGAAGAAACGAGAGATCGAAGAAGAGGAGGAATAGACGAGGAGGGGTGAGAGACGGTCAGCCACCTTGCATTCAGAAGTATTTCACTTTAACGGCCCTCCGGGGGATTGGCTGACCCTGCTCGAAGACCCTTCACCGTTTCAGCATAATGGACCTCTACATTACTTATTCGTCCTGGCCAATGTCCTGCCAGAAGCGACCGCTACTCGTTTCCACCTCCTTCCATTTCCGTGTACGATTAATCGCCAACTGGATCCACGTTCTTCCTGTCCTCGCCATCTTGCGTGGACAATGGGTAAAAGGGTGATAAGAAAAGAAGAATGTAATTAGAAAATTTATGAAGCTGGTAGCAACACATTTTGATTCCAAAATTGAAGGAACTATGCGCTAATATTCTCGTATGTTCACTAACTTTTGAAGATGTAAGAAAATGGATACGTAAGATTGGAAAATAGATGCGTGGTTTTACAAAATCATTTATACAAAATCATATTTTTATGGCCGAAGATAAATAAATGTAATCTAAGCGAAAATGTGCATCTGCTTTGAGTAATTTGTATACTTTCGTAATTATATATGCAAATTTTTCATAAATTCGTTAAAAACCGATACGATTATGGGTAATTCGGTGTTCGGTCCAACGATACCATTTTATTACGACGTGTCGAGATTATACTAAATAACTCACTATTTTTTTCTACTATTCCATATTACAAAGACTAATCCAATCCACGGGGAACAATCCTTGCGTGCAGAGCGATCCAGTACGGCCGCCCCCTCCCCCCAAATTATCTCCGGAATGCCCCAACACAATCATCGATGCCATACGTAAAACCTACAGACGAGACTGAAATTCCTTTAAAAATCATCTGTAAACCTTTCTGTTAAACCAATCTCGATTCCATTCGTTCTTCGTTGAATTCCTCGCGTAGCGGGGATCCGGACTTCCGGTTCGCAGGGTCCTGTGCGACATTAGCGGCGTCACGTAGCGCGCAATTTCACTGAACGCATCTCGGAATCGTGCAGGTGGACGTGAAATTTTGTCGATCGAACGAAACGTCGCGGGGCGAGGCCCTCGGGCAATCTGGTTTGCCGCGGTACTCGAAAGAATTGAAAATTCCTGCTCGTCCAAGGGTTGAAGAGGTCGGCCAACGGGGATGCAGGAGAAAAGGGAAGTCCGGAAGGGGCCAGAGGGGGTGGCAGCGGACGCGGATAAAGCGTTCGATATAAGATTAATAGCGGAGGCCGCTGGCCGAGCCTGTGCACGTCGACGAAGAGGGTGGCCCGCCTATATAGACGACGGTGATTCCTCTTTGAAGGTGGAATCGTGGGCAGTGACCAAATTGAATCCTGCTTAGGACAGGAGCTGCGACGGAGGACTCAGCCCTCGGGCACTTTCTCCAATAAATAAATTGCTCCACGTTGCGGTCGATTCGCGCTCGCGTGGAACCTGAATTAAAATCGCACCGCGTCGCGTGGATCACGATGACTGGATTCCTTTGTGCATGCTTCGTATAGGAATAAACTAGGCTTATTTTGGGTCGGGCAGATACTTTAATCAAACTAAACAATTTGTCTTGTAATTGATCAAATTCGACGGTAAACAATTTTCGAGCGATGATCGATGATCGGTCGATCGATCTGCGTTTGAAAGAAAAAACGTTCGAGTCTAGTGACAATTATCTGGCCGTCGAAGTGTACCGAAATACAATGTACTATTTATGACACGGTACTGTAGATAAAAGACTGAAACTTTTGCATATTATCTTAACTCGATGGAGATATAGTAAATACGATTCTATGGAATTAATTAAATCGAGATATTCATCGATTAATTTCGTCGGTGTTTGCAATTTCTTAGATAGAGTACAAAGTTCCAACTTTTCTTAATACCAAATTGTAATACAAAACAATAAAAATCACGTGTATGATTGGTGGTCTAGCCGACCAGCGACGTGACTCCGTAAATACAGCTGTGTTTCTTGTTCATCGTCCATGTCATGATTACAGGCAAATTGGACGTGTGAAAAGATTGCTTCGTATATCGCGCGATAATCAAATTTCTCCACCTGTCGTCGTCTCCGTCGATAAGCAGCATCGGCCACGTGCCGGACTAAAACCCCGATAAAGGGGTCACTAAGGTGCTGTAGAAGCATCAGGGAAGATAACGAACGAGCATCTACGTGGAAACTTCGCGACGCACGCGTCTTGGAATCCTTTCTCGATGCACGTGTGAACGACCTTTAATCGGTCGATGCTTTTTCTTCGTAGGGTCTCGGCTAAGAACCAACAAGGCTGTTGTCGTCCCCAAAACGCAAACGATATCTCGAAT